TGCCGACATGAACTTAGCCAGCAATGGTGGCACCACTGCCTGATGCTAGCTTCGCAGGAAGGGTATGTCGAAATCGTTCGGCTGCTGCTTGAAGCCGGTGCCGACAAGGACTGCCGTGACAGTGACGGCTCTACTACGCTCATGTTGGCTTCTGCAGAAGACGACGCTGAGAGCGTTCGTTTGCTGCTGGATGCCGGTGCCGACAAGAACGGCCGTGCCAGCGACGGCTTCAGTGCGCTCATGTCAGCTCTTGCGCATGGCGAAGCCAGAAACGTGACACGTTTGCTAGACACGGGTGCCGGCAATGACGGCACTACTGCCCTGATGCAGCTTCGCAGGAGGGGTATGTCGAAATCGTTCGGCATATTATAGTATATAACATACCAAATTATCATATAATATCATATAACGTAATATAATATAACAGAGTATAATATATCATCATATGTTATATATGTATTTAGATACACCATGCTAATGTATAGTGTATAATGTTTGTGTTATATATAAACTCACACTATATATATTGTTTATTTTCTATTTGCTGTATACACATTCTATATATATATATATATACTGTATATATATATACATACATATTTACTATATTCATGTAGATATCCTCTCTGTGATTAAGTATATAGTGTGTGTGTATATATATATATATATCATAGACCCAGAACCCCAACACCCTGCAACCCAAAACAACCTAAGCCTATACCCCGAAGGCCTCCAAAAACCCTGAACTCAAAACCCCACAACTAAAGCCCTAGGAAGCCTAAAGCCTAAACTAGGTTGAAGATGCCCATGTTCTCGAGGCCGGTTGCCAAACCCGAACCGGCCTCGATTTAAATTTTACCGCTGGGGGGTTTATTAGTCAAGGGTCTACATTCTGCCGCCGGGATCATTATCAGCAGCTGAACCCGCGAAGAAAGCAATGTAGAATTGATTTTTTGGGGGGTACATGCCCGAAAGCATTTTGGAGGCCTGAGCCATGGACGCTTGTTGTCAAGGCTCGGGTTTACAGTTTGCAAGTCGTCTCCAAACCTTATGCCTTGAAATTAAGTCCGTAAGCCTCGCTGTCCGGAGTTTGTTTGCACGACAAAACACCCAAATCCCAACCGTAGCACGAAACAGCGTTTTGTGTTTGGGACATCGGCAGAGGCCGGATTGCTTTGCATGTTGCGTGTGCCTTCGGAGGTGACTGAAAGGTCTGCAGAGTGTTTCCACTTGACCTCTTTCGGCAGGACTTACGCAATCAGCGTTTCAAGCTGCCAGCCCAAATAAACGGAACAAAGGTTGGACGGGGTAGATGGCCTATCCCTAAACCATAAACTCTACGCAAGCCCTAAACCCTGGACTCTAAGCCCTACGCTAAACTCCAATCCGTAAGCTCTAATTACCCAGAGGCTCCAATGTAGTTCCTTTTTGGGTTTGTTATGGTTTTTGATAAGGAATCATAGTATACTATCCAAAAAGGAACTACATAGGAGCCCTTGGGTAAGCCCTAAACCCGAAACTCTAAACCTTAAACTTTAAGTACACCCTAAAACCCCAAAAACTCTGAGCCTTGCCCGACCTCTTCAAGCGACAGCTGAAGACGAACGCGGGCGCAGGTGCGGGAAAGCGAGGAGCTTCGGAAACAGTTGAAGCAGGTCCGCTTGCTGTTGACTTTGGGGGCCTTCAGGTTTGGGGTTTTGGGGATCACTTGTTGGGGCTTTGGATCGGCTGTAAGCTTCAAGGCATGTTCGGTTTAACGGTTTCGCTCGCAGGCTCGGGTTGAACCCACGCTCGGTCGCAGGCCTCACGTCATGTGCCCAAGATTTTCAGCACTTGACCGTCTAACTACCTACCTGGCTGTCCCGACTTCGTCGTGCGGATGTCTCAGCACCTATTCGAAGCCGAGTCATAGCATTGGCCCCAGCAGTCTAGCCGTAATGTGCCGGGTTTGTCGTGAAGCTCTGGAGGCGCATCCCCCAACTTGTAAGATTATGCTCTCCGACATCCCAGGCGGTGGATGAGCAGCAGCAGGCTCACGAAAAGGCTTGGACTTTGCTCTTCCTATCGAGCTTGGTCGCTACAACTTCGGGAAATGCCTTGTCTGTTTCGTGTCGGATCGAATCTCGAGAGGGTAGGTATGACTCCTCCGATTCTCATTGTTGGTGCTGATATGCTGCTTTATTGTGACAAGCTTAGGTGCTGTTGTCGTTACGGAGACAGCTGTTGCTCATGCTCCTGCTACACTCTGTCTAGCGCGTACTCCCGCCTAAACCCGAAATACGCCAAGAACCTTCGAGCCGCAGCTTTTGACCTTATGTCCCACAACTGGCTGTCAACCTTCGAAGCCTGGACTACCCCGGGGCGAGGGACAGGCAGACACCAAAAAACTTAGGCCCTAGGCCCTAGGCATTAGTATTGGAAAAATAGACCCGGAAAGGATACCGCAAAACCTCAAAGCCTCGGCACTACGACCCAACAGCCCCACTGCAAAAACACCGCGAAACCCTGCATCCAAGCTTTGCGCACTGGACGCTAAACCTGAAACTCCGAACTGGAGAAGCCCTCAATCCTGACACCCAAACTGGAAAGCCCGAAGCCCTAAACCCCAGCATCCCAACTCGACGGCGCAAGTTGCAGCCAGGCGAAGGTGTGGCAGCAGCATGTGCAGGATGCGCAGGACAAGCTGGCAGCCACGGCCTCGTGAACACTTGGAGTGTCCTTGAAAGCCAGGGCTTGAGGGTTAGAAAACAAGCCGGAATAGTTTAGAGTAGTACCGCCAGTATAGTTCTCAAGTATTCCGTTCTAGTTATCCCCATATAGTCCGTATAAATTCAGGCCCTTTGTTTGCTCCAAAGCCAAACGAGGGACCAGTTTAAAGCACGCTTCTTGAGAAGGCGAGCCTACCCGTAAAAGGAACCTGCCCTGCTGGCAAACACAGAGAAAAATCATAGCCGGATATGGTACTCTTCTCCAACCTTATACAGGCCCCCTGTATGTATCGGCCCTGGTCTTTGCCTCGGTAGGCCGTTGTGAAAGTTTACATGTCCCTTTAAAGTTAAGGATCTTATTTACGAATATTTTTCAATGGCTGTACAGGGCCAACCTGACTTAAGGACATAGTTCATACTATGTCGAAGACAGCCCGAGTAAAGAAAGGATCTCGGTTTCTTGTCAATATATTATAAGTATACTACAATTGCCACAACAAACCAGATGGGTAGTTCTCTAAATTCGGGTCCCTTTGTAGGAACCCAAAAGAAGGCGCGACCCCCATAATTGGACCCTGATAGGGACCCTAACGTAGAGAATTACCCATGGAGAAACCTTACAGCACCCTTATAGAGATCCCTTTCTAAGGAAGCCGAAAAGGGATCCTACTTTATAGAGCTACCCGTATTCCACCCGCTGAATCTCGTCGACTCTGAGGACCTCACGTTGGAGCTCGAGGCCTTCTGTCTGAAAGCCCTCAAAGCCCTAAAGCCCCCCTAAAGCCCAGGAGCCATGGAGGTGTGAGGTTTAGGGCTTCGAGGGTTAGCGTTAAACCCTTTCGGCTGAAGCACCTAAAGCCCCTAAACCCGTGCAGCCCTAGGGGTCAAAGGCTTATAAGGGTTTAGGGCCGGCTTTAAGACCCTGGACCCCTAGATAAACCCTGCGATTTATGTGTGGAGTCTCTGGACTAAGGTCGAGGGTCTGAGATGTTTGGGGGGCCTTTGGTTTTGTTGGGTCTAGTCTAAGGCTTCGGGTTTCTTTCTCATGGTCCCAGTCACAGGCTGCGGTTCTTAGTTTTCGTTGCGAAGGGTGGGGGCGGGGCGGGGGGTTCGGCCTGTCAGGGGTTTATAGGCTTTCGGAGTCTTATATAGAGACGGAAGGGTGTTGGGGTTTTGGGTTTGTGGCTTCGCGGGTTTTACTGTAGTAGTCTTAGGTGTGCAGGTAGTGTAGGGTACAGGCCGCGTGGACTGGGGTTTGGGACATTTTGGGCGCGGGAGCCTTTCGTTTGAAGATCTTTAGTCTTTGAGTTGGAAGAGGAGCGTCAACTTCATACTTCTTTGCAGCAGACCTCCCGCAGAAGACCTGTAGCATGGAACCTTAAACGCTAAACTTCTAGACCTTACGAGCTATAAGCACTATAGAAGTCCTGCATCAATATATCTGCTGCAAACGGTGCTTGTCACAAAGGCCAAGCAAGCCCAATATCCAGCAAACCATAGAGCCCTGAACAGCAAACACCTGGGGGATCTTAGGCCTTCGGCCTTATAGGGGCCCGCAACCCGCTTACCTTACAATGCGTATGGACTCTGAGGCCTCATCCCTAAATCCAGCGAAAATAGGAGATTCCGCGTGTGGAGAATTTGTTTCCCTTGGCAAGCAGGTATTTGCAGCAACGGTGGTCACCCGAACTCGCATGAACCGCCAATCGACAGCTTTCGCTGCAAGCTGAACCCAAGAACCTCAACTACTTTAACTACCCCAATTCCAGAGCCCCAGGCCTAAAGCCCTAAACCCTAAACACTGATATCTTACGGAGCCCTTGAAAAAGGAGTCCTACCCCTCACAACACACCGAGCCTTAAGCGGGGGAATCTGCGGCCCAACCACATTGATGGCAGACGCTTCGCCGCTCCAGGGACGACGAGCGCCAGGTTCGGCACCATCGGAGATACTTAGAGGACTTCGTAAATCGTGTCATAAGCAATCTTTACCAGGGGCAGAAGTTTCATGGCCAGAGGGTGCAGAGAAGCGGAGGTCCCGCTTCAGGGTTCCTTCTTGCCAGAATCCTCGTGCTCAGGGTTTATTTGGGAGTGTTTCATATCTGGAAACTTCCACTTCTTCACTGGGGCTGTCCCGGTTCGGTGTGTTTACTCGTGCTGCAGATCTGCGTGCACACCCAAATGCCTGTCCCTAGTTTCGGCGGGGTCTAGGGCGCCGTGACATGTGGCTTGCTGAGATCTGAGGTCTGCCTGTAGCTTTCCAAGCAGGCGGTGCAGGAACTCGACGTTGTATTCCCCCACGGGGCCAAATACAGTCCGCCACACCCACTCCCGAACATGACTCAACATCCTGTGAGGCCCTAAGCCCTTGACCCAAAGCCCTTAGACCCTCAAGCCCTAAGCCCTAAACCCCATGGTCAACATTGATCCTGTGAGACCGTTGCTCTGCAGCCAGAAGCCACAGATGACCTGGAGGTCCCGTGCACTTCGGTTTCTGGTACTTTGGGCTTAACATATGTAGGGGCTTAAGTAAGTGCAAACACTCTTGTTCCTCGTTTCAGCTCTAGAATGCTATGCCTCAAAACTGCATTCTAATTATCAAGGCCCCTATAGTAGCGCGCATCCGGAAAAGGGGCCATCCTTTCGCCAAAATTGGGAGCCATACCAGATTGCATCGAATGGTTGCAAGCATGAGATCGTAGGGCGTCTGACACCTGTTGGTGTCGCGCACCCTCAAGAAATACGATCAAGACGACTACTTGCGAGACTAAGTATTCCGAACTAATCATAGCAGCAGCTGTAGTGATTCAGAATCAGGTTTTGTGAACATGTAAAAACAGCGATTGCAAGGGGCATCAGGCATCGGCATAGGGATCACAAGTCAAAAGCAAGCGCTCCGCCTCTTATTGCAAGGCTGTCTAGCACAATCCGAATTATCATCACCTTAAATCGCAGTCGCAGCACTTTGTTCTAAGGTTTAGAGGATCCAGGGCTTGCTTTGTTTATGCTGGTATTGATAGTGAGTTTCGAGGGAACCCCAAGTACTTTCTGGAGCCTGTAATAGCGTGCTGTCTCCTTGTAGCACTTATGTTTATATAGAAATACTGGAATCTAACACCAAAGCCCTACTCATCTTCAAGGGTTCTACACCCTAGACATCTCTAAACCAAAAGCCCCAAAACCTTACGTTTACACCCACCAACAACAGAGCTCGTGCTGCTTAGTTCTGGGCTAGAAGAACATCGTCCCAGTCAAGGGGTCATCAAAACAATGCTTCTTGGATCCTGATACATAATCCCACTTGAGGGGTTGTTAACCCCTGCACCCTAAACATAAAACCCAAAACCATCCTAAACCCTAAATCCTAAATCCAAAGGCTTCGGGTCCGGGCTTCTAGGGCCTTTGCTCGCTGCCAGGCGACCCGCTCAATCGACTGGTCAGCTCTCGAGGCGTCGCTGATCAAGGGCTTTTTGGAGCTTAGGGGTTTGGCGTTCGGGCTTTTGGCGTTGAGGGTTTGGGATTTCGAGTTTAGGCATCTGGTGGTTTAAGGGTTTCGGGTTCAGGGATTAGGGGTTTTGGCTTTGGGATTTAGGGTTCAGGGCTTAGGGCTGAGCTTCACAAGGATGCCATGCGCGCTTTAAAAAAGGCTTACTATAGGCATTTATTTTAGCATGTGGGATTGGAGAAAGGTCTTAAGACTGGTCCTATGAGGTCATGCTTTGGAGCGTTTCTACAAGGGCTTTTGGCTTTCGTATGGCTTTCGGCGATGTCAAAAAGAATTGGGCAGCTGGCATACCATTCGTTCGGACAGCCCTCAACCTCCAAACCCCCTCCAGACATTGTCCCGGTGCATGGTATTCACATCATTGCAGCACCTGCTGTTGCAGCTAATTCCTGCTGCCGTTGTGGCTGCCACTGCCGCGGCTGCTGTTTCGATAATTGCTTTTCGTTGCTTTGCAGCACGAGTCAGACATGCTGCCTAGGAGCGGCAGATGCGCGCCAGACCAGGCCCACTTCTCCCGTTAAAGATGTTGGGTCACGGTTCAGGGTTGTGACATCCGGCTGCGTGTCCAGGGCCGATAATGCATCGAAGTTCTGTGTTTGTTGCTTGGGTAGCAAATTAACACACCACCCGGAACCGAGTAATTTCAGGAACCGAGTAATCTCAGGAGTAAGCACGCTGCAAGGTGTGAGTTGGGCTCCTTTCTCATGGTGCTCTCTTCCCCAGAGCTTTTTGAGGGCTGCAGGAGCTGCATACACCGTAGTGCACGAGAATTGCAGGTTGCTATTGCAAGGTCGACCGCAGGCTGCAAACAGCCCTTCGCATGTTAGGCAAACGCAGCAACGTAGGGTGAGAAAGAAGCACTGAGGAATCGAGGAATGGAATGTTATACAGATGGACCCCAGATATTCAACCATTTTCGCTCGCCGGACCAAAGATTTGTTATTTGAGGTGGGGCAATTCAGTTGAGATCACGGAACTGCATTTTTTGGCTGGGTTGGAGGGTCCAGGATTTCGTGTTTGGGCTTCAAAGGTTGAGATACTTCTTTCCGCTGTATGGCCCCATCAACCCAGCAGCCACTCATAAGCAACCCTTAACAGTCAAAGCCTTAAGCTCCAAAATCCGATGTCAGTTCTTCCGCGCTCTTATTGACCCCTGCTCTGGCTGAAGCCGGTCGCTCGCAGGGCTTTTGCATCCACCCAGCGGCCCCCCAAACCCGCAATCAATAAACGCCAACACCTTAAAATGCCCTAACACTCCGAAACCCTAAAGCCTAGAACCCTAAAGCCCTAAACCCTAAAACAATGGGCCCCAAATCCTTACCTAGCTCCTCAGGATGCCCTGAAGCCAGGTGTGAGCCGGTCGGTGATCGTCCGCCGATCCCTGGGCCCCCTCACAAGCCCCATGGTTGCAGGGTGTTTTTAGGATTTTCTTACTTGCGGAATTGGGCTCATAGGGTTTAGCCGTTGAGGGTCTGGAGATGTTAACCGAGAATGTAGCGCTTTCAGATTTTAGGATGTACAAAAGGCTCGGATTTCGCGATGTTTTGCGGAGCTTAGAGACTTAGGGTACGCCACTAGACCATGATATAGCACGAACAGCTTGCAAGTTCTCAGCAAGGTGATCGACATACATCTCCCAAACTTCGGTCCGAATCTGCATCTGTGTTGTACTGTGCTAGCGTTTTAGGTTGCAGCCTGAAGGCTTATACCAGATACATGGACCTCGAGAAGGTGTGTACTTGTTGCCTTCAAGTTGCAAGATCCTGAAGCCTTTGACCCTGTGCGCGTATGTATATCTAGAGGCAAAGACTCGGATGTTTTGCATCTTGGCTTCAATGATCTAACATGTAGACAACGTGTGGGTAAGCTTGGGTACCTAGAATCTTTCAACTAAAGCACCACAATAGTTTTAGTGGATTTAGATTTAGGGCGTTTAGGGTTTTGTTGAAGCTTTAGACTCCCTCTTCAATCTTATATGTAAGCGTTCTCTAAGCCCTTGAAAAGCCTCTAAGACTCTAAGCCCCAGCTCAAACACTCTAAGCCCTACATGGAAGCCCTTAAATCCTAGGCCTAAGCTCCAGGTGCGCCGTTGAACACGGTGGTCGGGGTCGGCTCTCCCGGTGTACCGCCACCTACGCAGCGGCCCCAGCGAAGGGACATTGAGCACTTAAGGCGTAGGGTTACTCTGAGGGTTGCGGCAAGGGCTGCTATACTGGGTAGTCATGTTGGATCAATCTTTGTGACAGGGTTAAAGTGAGCGTTTAAGGTTTCAGTCAGGTTGTTTGTTTGGTAGCTGAGCAGGTAACTTCCCGTCTTCTTGGGTACATAGAGCCTTGCTCAGACGTTTTATTTAATGTAGCGGCAGTCTGAACAAGATTGCCTCGTCGGTTCCCCAACACTTGCCCCTAGAACAAGAAGTTCACCGAACTTTTAAACCGTACATCTAGCGGACGATGAGATCTGGGAGGGTGATTTCCTGCTTGTTTTGCGAAAGCACATGAATTTGACAGCGGCTGCAAGGTTCAAGTCCATGGCCGTGCCGATGCCGGCACAGGCGGCACAGGCAGCCGTAATAACCCCACTTACTCGCAGCAGTTGTTGGGGGTGCTCTTTCAGGGTTCAGCCGGCAGTGCGGTCTGCAGTGTTTGTCGGCAGCGTGGAAATGAAAAAACTTACAAAGAAGCCTCAATATACCAAAACCAATGCTGACAGTATTGGCAAATCTCACAGTTCAGTGGTTATCCTAGACAACAAAAGCACGACACTAACAACAGAAACATAAACGGATGTCCTGTGTGACCCATAGGCTTGAGTTCTGGTTCTGACTTCAGCGACGGAATCCTCGAGTCCGGGGTGAATGGCTCGGGGTTTGCAGCCTTGAAGGCGGGTCTTGGGGGTGTCTACGGGTCATTGAGTCTTATTGAAGTCTGTCCCTTGGAGTGGGCATGGATTGTGTCTGCAAGTTTCAAGCCTTGAACCTCTTGTGTAGACCCTACAAGACATTACTGCCATGAACTATAGGTGTAGGTTCTTTTATAGGCCCTGTGTGATTGCGCGGTCATAGCCCCTACACCCCGTTCTAATCAATCCAGCCCCTGTACTAGGCCCGAGTTGAACGGAAACCGGCCAGGCCCACACCCTACAGCCCAAAGTATCTCCGAGTCCCACCCAGCCCGAACCTGAAGGTGTCGTTGGGTTTTATGCAGCGCACTTCAATGATCAGAGTAGGGTTTGGGGGGTGGTATATGGTACTATGCCGGGAGTAGGGAACCCAGGAGGATGATAGAATGTCTTGAAAGTCTTTAGGTCGCTACGTCGGGGTGTGTAGGAGATTTCTCAAATTGGGGCTCGGGCCCGTAGCTGGAGTCCTCTTCTCGGTTACTTTGTTTCTTAATTTCTGGGGTACTTACCGGGAACTACATTGGAAAGTACCAGGACCTTCCTTGTACCTCAACAGGGGTACATGGCCCCTAATAGTAGGGCTCTAGAAGGGTACATGGAGGCTCTAGGTACAGTCAAGGGCGTGAACTTTGAATCATGTGAGTGCGGGTTTTGCTGGCCAGCTCTCTCCATGATGTCGCTTGGGTCAAGCCGTATCTGGCACGAAGCAACCGCTGCCAGCCTAGGGCATGTTGGAGTCTCACAAGATACGAACCAGAGTAGTAGAATCGCTACAAGGGCTTTGCGAAGCCCTTTGTGGGAGGTTGAAGATTCGGGTCGATGACTCAGTCAAGAAGATTAATATCTGGGCCCCAACCCCTAAACATCGGTTGCCGAAGCAAGGCATCCAGCAAAACACTGGAAACGGCCCTTGGTTTGGAAAACGTTATACTGCCGCCCTAGATAGCCCATGGTATTGTTATATGATACAAACTATTATGTCACTATGTAATACAATATATACGATACTTCGCCACATCTGTCGCCGAGAGCCTTGGCTGCCCGCGTCTCGGTTGCAACACTTGCAGGAACAGAGTAAGATAGGGACCTGAATGAATAGAATAGTGTTTTGGGCTATTCTAGAGTATGATGTTAATAAGGAGCCGTAAGGAATGATGTTGGTAGTTATTCAGGCACTTATAATACTTAGCCAGTAGCTAGCTTACAAGCGTGTGACAAGCTTATGGACCGAGTTCGAAGTTCCCTGATCCTTCTAGCAATATAGGGTGAGAGGTTCGTTTTGATCGAAGCTTGGTTTACGCAAAACCAGAGGTCATCAAACCGAAACTTTCATCCCATCTTGCTAGGCATCTTCGTTTCGAGCGTTTGGGGTTTTGGGTAGCCTAAACCCTTGGAGGTGGTGGCTTTAGCTTTTGATAGAGTCTGTGGGTTCGGGGTCCAAGGGTTGAGCCATGGTTCCGGGCGGCTTCTTCGGCGTTACTTCGTACGACGCCCTCGGATCCCGCAACTCTAAACCCAAAGTCAGACGAGGCCCTACTTCCTCTATACAAGAAATTCACCGTGGCGCCATTCCATACGACATGTTGGTGGCCCCGGTTCCAGACTTTCAAAACTCCGCAAGCCCAAACCCCTAAATACTTTAACCCGCTAAACGCTGAACCGTAAATGGATTTGGGAGTTTCTGTGGTTTCGGTTTGAAAGCGTTGTGGCCATAAAGGTGATTGGGTGTGCTGGGCTTGTAGTGTTTATGGGGCTCAAGGTGGATTGTGGGGTTTCTAGGGTTCAATAGGTTTCAGGATGTCAATCCGCCCTGCGTTTTTGTTTGAGCTTTGGTGGTGTGAAAGGGATGGAAGAGCAAGATTAAACAGGGACGACAGGTTGGGCATAGGATCCTTTTTGGGATCATGAGACGGTAGCTCTTGTAACGCTGCGAGTAGGTGATGGCGGCGGCTCATAAGTGTCCTACAGTTTAACCTGGTTAATGTAGACGCCTGAACAATTTCGTTAGGTCAGCCCTTACGTGTCCTTCTGATAAGTATACTATAATATAGCCCAAAATCCTATTCTAGATATTGAGGTGTAATTGTTAAGGCCCCTTTGTTACTACTGATATCTTCACGCCTTCAAACGCTCATCCAAACCTTAATACGCTTGGGGTTTGGGTGGACGGAGGATTCGGTTTTTGTATTCCATAGTGCTTTCTTAACTTATCTTACCTTATGTTATGTGGGTATGTTATTATAGTATATCGTCGTCACTGAGGTCGCCATGCCGTCCATCGCCGTGGTATTTGAGTCGGGGCCTCGGCGTGTCCGTGAAGTACGTAGGGTTCCGGATTCAGGGTTTAGTGCTTTAGGCCTGAGGGACAATGAGCTACATTCGGTCCTAAACTCTCGACCTTGAACCTTCAGGCCTGATGTTTCAAGGCTCTCGACCCTGAGCCCTATATCGCCCAATCCTACAAATTATTTGCAAGGACATGCAGCGGTACGCGATACTTGTGCTCACATGGGCTCGTCGGTACTGGATGCCGGTACTCTGCGTGAAGCTTTGAGTGACCCCCGAATCATGTCCTAGCTCTTGCCGGATTCAAGGTTCTCGTCCCGAGTGTTGACCGAGACTTTGCTTGCAAGGGGTCGAATGATTTTCAGGATGATAATTCCGTCTCGTGTAATATCCCCCCGCTATTCCTCGCTCTCACGGTACTATTTGTGGCTGTAGCCTAGTTACCACCACCGCCGCCGCCGCCGCCACCGCCACCACCACCACCACCACCACCACCACCACCACCACCACCGACACCGACACCAACACAAACACCAACACCACCAAAACATCCAGTCAGCTAACCTTCACGGGCCTTGTCGTCCTCTTCTTAAGCCGGGGTGTTTTTCATGAAACGCTTTCAAAGTCTAAACCTTGCGGCAAGGGTCTGCTTCTTATGCAAATGTTGGCTGCAGTCCATTAGTTTGCGTTCTGAAGCAACTCGTACGCGGATGCGATTGCGAATCTGTACGCTGGTCTCACCGTGTTCACGACCTGAGGCTGGACTGTGCCAGCACGAACATGGGCCAGTTGATTTTCGTGGCGGGTGCCTGAGTCGCCTTGAACCACTGTTAAGTCCTAAACCCTAAGACCATAAGCCCCTACACCCCTAACACTCTACACTCCTAGACCCTCAAGGCTACCCCCCCCCCCCCAGCTCCAAAGCCCGCTTTTGGGGGATCCCAAGGTTGGCTGCCATCCCGGAATGGGATACTGGGATCCGACCGGCGCCTCAGATGCACCAAAAAGGGGGAGGGTTCTTCACGCGCTTCCTGAAGAGGGTTTCTCTGAAGGATTTTGTTTAAGGGTTACTAGAAAACAGGGCTACAACAAGTGGGTATGTGCACGATTTACGAAGACACATCAGGGTTTAGTATAGGTGCCTCAATTGGAACAGGGCTCCTATAAAGGTATTTCCACTAGGGTGTTGGTGTCTCTCGGCGCCGTGCTTTGAATTTACTCCTACAATCCCAGAAGTTCTTGACGCATTGACCTCGCCAAAAAAAACCTAAACCCTAAACGCTGAACCCTAAAGCAATGCATACCCCTCCAAAATCCCACCCTGTACCAGAAACACCAAGATTCTTCATAACACCCCCCAGAAAAATATCAATCCCTCCCTAAACGATGAGGTTCTGAATATCGGAATCGCCAGCTCAGCACCAGCGAATTGACGTACCCCAGGCCCTGGAGCACTGGAGTGCCGGTTTGACTGCTTGTTTGGGGCTTCAGGGGGTTTCGGGGGGGTTTAGGATTCAGGGCTTCGGGCTGAGGGGGAATCGGGAGTTTAAGGTTTATAGTGCTTATGACTATGACTATGATTCATGATGTCAGAATTTTGGGTTCAGGTTTTCGGGCATGTGATGTATGTGTGTTGTTGGGTGGTTTGGCGTTCATATCGGTCTAAGACTTCAGCAGCACATCCACCTGCCGGCACCAGCTTTGCTCAGCACCGTCGCAGAAGTGGGTTTCTCAGTGACTTGCCAAGACCTCCCTTCATGGTTGAGGGCTGGAGTTCCTTTTTCATTACCTTGCTTGCCTCTTAGAGGATCTAAAGCAGACGAATGGCTAACCTTCCTCGACAGACCTCGACATCAGAAACCCTCAGACCTATAAAGTCGACCCTTCCGGATGTTGGGTCTTTTAGGGCTCAGGGCTGAGTTTACCCAACACCTAGGGCCTTGGGAATCGCGGCTGTTGCAGCATAGGATGCTGTGATTCAACGTAGAAGGTCATTTTTCCGCAAGGATCCTCCACGCCGCCACGCTTGACTTTCTCATGCTTACTAGCACCCAAAGCCCGCTGGAACACGCAGCAGCCCGTCCAGAATGCTACATCAGGCTTCATGTTTGGGGGTTGCTTCGAGGCTTGGGAGCCGTCGACTACAGGGTCTAGAGATTGCAGAGAGGCGTTGACCCTCGAGCCCTTCAACCTAAACCGTATAGGATCATGTGGCTTAGGATTGAGGGGTTAAGGGGTTTAGGATGCTTTAGCGGGTTAAAGGCTAAAGTCTATAGGGAAGCGGCACATCTTCACACGGTACTTGTACGACCAGATCCCCTAAGCCTGTATAGGTGGATCATGGCCAATGCCATGTGGCTGGAGCTCGAGGAGGGGGCCGAGGAGCTGGAAATTTCGTGCCCCTCAGGGCTGCGTGGATTGTGGGGGTTTGGAAATATTGGGCGTCCCTTGGAGGGGGAGTCCTTAGAGTGCAGGTCTTACTTCTTGTTCATGAGAGATTGGGCTCCCCTATTTTCTGAAACTACCCTTAAATGTTTGTTTGCGTTCGAGGCTTTGGGGCTCATAGTGTTCGGGTCTCCGATCTTGCGCAGATCTTAAGTTCGGGCTTTTTGGTGTGGGCCCCGCTTGCAGGTACAAGTACGTACGCATGGCGCCGCAGCGCCGCCCGGAATGGGAGGTGTGGACCATGACCCCTCTCACTGGACGTAGTCGCGGATGCTGGTTGCATCTCCGATTTCAGTTACGTTCCCTCAGCCGACGTACAGGGGATCCGAAAAGCCTTGCACGGACGGCTAGGGGTTGTGGGTGGTGGCCACAGCTCGGCCCAGCACCTCGTGACCATGAGCCGTATACAGTAAGCTCTCCTAAGCCCGAAGCCTTAAAGCCTAAAGACAGGGCCATGCTAAGTTCCCAGTCTGCATCGCCAGGCGGGTCCGGATCGCCGCATTGCCCGGCTCCCAGGATACTGAGATCCCGACCTGAAGTTCTAAAGCCATCAAACCCTAAATGAAACCCGCTGGAAGTCACTCACCCACTCAAGTTCTGCGAACCTTCGTGTCCGTATCCGGTTTGCTTTCGCCCTGATGCCTGGGCCCTAAGATGCTGCGTCGTCAGCGTGACATAGCCAGAAAGGAATATCAAGACTGTGGAGCTTCAGTGTCCAGTGTCCCCAAACCCATCACTTGCCTTCTGGCAAATCCTGAGCGCACTTTGCTCATTGGACCTTCGAGCCGCGGCTTTTCTGGCATGTGAGGTCTTGCGTGCTGTGCCCCGCGGCAATGATGTGTGGATCGTCAGGGACAATCAGCTCCCTGGCTGGAACTCGAACTCGAGCTCCAAACCCCCGAAGCCTACAGCAAAACCCTAGACCTGACGCCTGAAACCCTGAATCCCGAAACCCGAAATCCTCCATCCGAAGTCTAGCCGTGTCTAGGCATGGAGCCTATGGAGGTAGCTGGGGGACTCGGAGCAGAGGTGTAGGAGTAGTAGAAGCAGGAGGAAGAGGAACGGGGGTAGGGAGTCACCCTAAACCCGAAACCCTAAAACCCTAAACCCTAAACCCTAAACCCGAAACCCTAAAAACCCTAAACCCGAAACCCTAAAAACCCTAAACCCTAAACCCTAAACCCTAAACCCTAAACCCTAAAAACCCTAAACCCTAAAAACCCCTATAAGCCCCAAGGCCTTCACCCCAAGCCAGGTGGGGAGCCACGAGGGATGCGGCGACCGCCCGGGCCCGAGGAAGAGAGAAAAGTCCAGAGATTCGGATTCAAGGGTTTAGGGTTTAGGGTTTAGGGTTTAGGGTTTAGGGTTTAGGGTTTAGGGTTGAGGAAGAGAGAAAAGTTCAAGGGCTAAGAGTTTGCTGAGGGTTGTGGGGTTTAGGGTTCAGGGATTTGGGTTTCGGGTTTAGGCATGGAGAGATTTAGGGTTTTTGGGGTTTTGGGGGTTCGGGTGTAGGGTTTAGGGTTTGGTATATTTTTTTGAGCGTGTGCTCTTTCGGTGTTGAGGCTTTTTTCTCACGAGAGGATCTAAATCTAAGGCAAAAGCCCTAAGCCCACTAGTTCTAAACCAGTTTAGAGCTACAAAACGAGGGTATAGGGCTGGACGGCTGTAGTGCTCTAGGTTTAGGGGTTCAGGGATCTCGGGCTTCGGGATTTATAAACTTAGGTGTTGAGGGTTTCGAGGTCCGAAAGTAGGTCTTCATCCTGGCCCTGCAAGAAACTGATATGAGATTCCCCAACCCCCTTAGCACTACCCATAGGCCCCATGGTAATTCTCTTTTGGGATTCCTTAATAGAATCCTGAACATAAGCCACAAAAAGGAACTACTATGGGGCCTATGGGTACACCCTTGAAAACTTAAACCCCAAACCCCTAAGCAATCAGCCCTACATCCACGTGAAAGCAAATCCCTGAGGTCTTTGCCTGCTCCCACGACGAGCTCATCTCCTCTCGATGCAAGGCACAGATCCGTCCTGGAAGATTGTAGGGGGTTCCGGGGTTTGAGTTTAGTTGAGGGCTTTACTGTTCAGGGTCAAGGGCTTTGGGGTGGGTTGAGGCTGGGGCCGTATTCCTGGGTGTCTTCAAAGGTCATCCAAGTCATGCTGGCTATCTGGGAGCCAGAATTAGGGGGACCCTTGGGGATATAGACCCTCTCAATAAGGTCCCTTTTAAGAGAGCCAAAAGTAGGGCTCAGAAGGAGTACCCTTTAAGGGGTACCCCTAATAATACTACCTACTATCTGTATGGAATGGCAGTACCGACTTCAAGATGTTCACGATGTAATCTAGGAACCTGAAAGCTTTGTCCAGGGTATGTAGGGGACTATACATACATTAGGGAACATGAAGTAGTGATATTGATTGGTACTTCCTTACTTCCCTATTGGGTTGGAGGTTTTGCGGGTAAACCCTGCGCCCTAAATGCAAAACCCTTAGGTGTCAGGCAGAAAAAATGGGACCTAGGCACCATGCCACTAGTGGCTCCAGGTCTTTTGCAGGGTTGGGAATTCTAGCTTATAGCGTGCCTTACTCAAAATTTCTGTGCACATTTCGAACGTGAACATGAAGTGCGCACTTGAGCAGATGCAGTTGGTGTATGTACATGTTTTAGACACCTGTAAGGTGGCTGCAGCTAGCCTTCGCAGAGTCTGGTTGGCTTGGTCGAGCATGCCCATCCAGAACCAGCCCACAATTCCCTCGTAAAGCGCACACCGCAACCCGCATCCTGTGCAGGTGGATCAAAACTGGCGCCCAGCTGCCACTAAGGCGGGAGAATTGAATACGGCGCCGATAGCTGTACGCGTATGTGGTCAATGTAGTCATAGGCATGTGTTCACCAGGCACAAGTAGCTGCACACGCACGCACTCAACTTCTTGTTGACGTTGAAATCCGTTTGTGAGGTCGGAAAACGGTACGCATCAGGGAAGATATTCGTGATGTCGCACGGTCAAGACCCGCACAAAAGAAAGGATGCAGCTTGAGCCGGACATGATCATGAAGTTTTTGGATGACTTTGAGCTGATTGGAACTATTTCGAACTGGGCTGCAATTGTGTCATGATTTCGAAACTGGCCCTAAGACCTTAATCATTTAACCCGAAGCAGTATAGTTGCACGCAGAGAATAACTTACAGCAGTATTAGGACTCTGATTAGCTTCGGTTTCAGGCCGTAGTTTGCCGGGCCTTTGGGCTCCCTCGGTTCAGGTTTTCGGTGTTGTTGTTCAGGAGTTTATTTGAGTGACCATAACAGGGACACATAAAAAATGATGTGGTTTCCTCGTTATGGTCCGGTAGCTTAACTTAGACCCCTTAGTAAGAGCCCAGCTTTGTAACCAAAGGAAAGGGGGTGGTTCAAAATGCAGGGGGCTTGGGCTACGGTGCTGAGGACTGTTCTGGACCCCACCTCCCAATATCAGGCTTGTAGCTGCCATGAGGCTTCTTGTTTTCCGAGCTCAATCAAACACGCAAGACGCGCTTGTCTTGACACGTAGCGCGCTTTGAGCTAGACATCAGCACGGCTCTTGCTGAAGACTGTGCGGACTCTGGGTCATGGGTCGAGAGTTGCCACGAGCTCAGAGCACTCGGGACATGAACCTCATAGGTTTCGTGGAAGTTCGGACATTGGCACCTACTTCTCAGGAGCCCATGCAAATTTGAAACAGACCTCGAGCCCATGCTTCAACCCGCCGCAGTTTCTGGGTTGTCGATAAATAAAGCTCACAAGGCACGGTCCGGCACAGTGCTGTCTTGCCCAATGTTTGAAGATGTTCCGGAATGCTGTGATGCAGGCAGCGAAGGCCGCACCGGTGATTCCCAAGCTTCCCATGGCGAAGGTGGCTGGGTGGCGAAATCCAGGGTCAGTGTTTGGAGTTTGCAGGGCATGGCGAAGCAGGGTTTGGCAGCATCGGGAAAATTGATTTTTTAAGACTGTTTTGTGTTTGGGTAAATTTCACCAGTATGGGTTGTAGCCTGATTCCTAGCAGCCAATTGTGGAGGCGTTGTTTTGGGTCTCGGTACGCCTCAAGGCTCTAAAAGCCTAATGACCCAGAATTCAAGGGTCAAGCCTTGATCCCATGCAATCGTAAGACCTGCCGCTTATCCTTTCGAATTCCACTAAACCCCAAAACCCCAAATCAAAACAAAGAGCTGCTCTGGAATTCCCGCGCGGGTTTTGCTTTGGGTTTTGAAGCCGACGGTCAGCAGAGGCATGACCTAGCATCGCCAAATGTGTTTGTGAAATTACTATCGGTGTTCTGGGTCCTGGCCAAGTTAATGATACGGATTGCATGATGGAGGTCAACTGATCGGTGCACGCCCATGCCGAATAAAATCTCAGGAAAAGGGAAAGAACTTCACACTATGACTATGCAAAGCTAAACAGACAAAACTAAACTGGAATATCCAGGAGTAGCTGCGCAGGGCACTTACAATCCGAAAGCTGGACCGCCTTCAGGCAAGACACGTCCCGCAAACGAAATCCTACTAAACACGGGGTAAAGGCGTGGTGCGGTTTCTGCATGAGTCGGAAACAATGGGCGGGTTTTGAATCCTGCAGTTGCTGGAGCCCTTTTCCTTGCTAAGCTCGCTCTGGTGGGCCCTCGACCTAAACCCTAAACCCTAAACCCTAAACCGTGGCTCCCCTGCCTTGAGCCTCAAAGTCTGAAAACGGGTTTCAGGTTTCGGATTTATGCTCTGGGGTCCGCTCCCTGAGCCCTAGAATAAAGAGGCCCTCACCCCCCAAGTCCCACGCTTTTGAGGTGAACCCTTCTGACTCATCCAAAGTCTATTTGCCGGGAGGCCACCCTATGCACTGGTTGAAGTCGGTTTAGGGTTTAAGGCAGGTTCCCATCATTCTATTGAGGGCGCAGAGAAGAAGTTCTGACTCTTCGTCAACCCTAAATCCTGAAGTGATACAATTGTAAACGCTCTACACTCTAAATTGTAAGCCCTACTCATACACCTTAAGCTGAAGTTTTCACAATGCTGCCACTGTGTACATTTTACATGCTGTTCCGTGCTACGGTCCCTCGAACACTCGTACAAAGAATAGCGGCAACTGCGCTTCGTGGCTCGTACTCCTTCCAATAGTATATCGTGGTGATCTTTCTTGATGCTGTCGCTGCTGCTCTTATCGTAACTCTTTCTCTGTGAGTGCATCGCATTGCCATGACAATACAAGGATGAGTACAGTCACTATGGCTTAGATATGAGGCTCCTGAGGCACATTATGGATAGAGAGTAACCTACGATTTAGTTAACTGAAACCCCAGCAGCGTCGGGGCTAATCGTCGACGGCTTACTTTGCTGCCATCTCCTAGCGGTCCGCATTTCTTCCAAGCACGATCATGTCCCCATCGGGCCAGCTCTATGTCCTGGCTTCAGGCCATAGATCGGCTCCTGGTACCATGGCTGTTGGGGCTTCGTCGTTCCGTTTAGGGCGTTTCGTCCCGACCTCACCTAAGTAAGCCAGAAACGACAGCGTCACGATTTGCAAGGGCCAGGCTAGCTAATCCAACACACGGGGATCAACAATTGGATCGCCCTCCTGCCTGATCCCACGACAGTTTCAGCATGGATGGTGAGTCCTGGAACAAATGCCGTTTCTTCATTCGCAAAGTATAGTGTTATGTGCATTTATGTTTATACTTATGCTTGTACTTATACTTATCATGTAGAGCACCATCACCCTCATCATCACGTGACCAGCAAAAACAGGTTGGCAAGATTTTTTCAGCAAGCGTCAACTAGCAGGTACCGTGAAAGCAGCAACCATGCAAGCCCTAACAAAAAGTTAACCCGAAAGTCCCACCCCCCGCTGAAACGTAGTTCAATATGTTGAAATTTGAGTAAACGCTCTTGCAGGAGACACCTCGGAAGACAACGAAAGCAGCGAGGAGGACATTGGAAGTCAATGCAGGGTTGATTACGCATTGAGGGTTTAGGTGTCAAGGGTGTTTCCGACAAGCCCACAATGATCGGCTTCCTTTTTCCGGCATCCATGGCACAGGCTCAAGCAATTTGTGGTGATGGTTGACAAGTTTGCCAAGACTGAAGAGTACCCCAACCATGGCGGATCCTTAATACGATAGGCTCTGGAGCAGCAGCAGCAGTGGCAGCAGCAGCAGCAGCAGCAGCAGGCATTATTATCAATGTAATAATCCCTAAACCCGAAACCCTAAACCCTAGTATTAGAAGCACGAGCAGTTTCAAACTAACGCGACTCCAGGAGAGCATCGCCGACGTAGAGAAGAGCGATGCAGATGCAAGGTGGCTGGTTTCGGATAGTAAAGTTGTACTATGGGGTACCGCGCAACCTTATTCTAAATGATTGAGGTCCCTGTAAGTATTGTGGTTTTCCGGCCCAGGCTGTTTGTGCGGTTGTTCTGTTTTCTCCTTTCGAATGCGCAAGTATGGTTTCAAGCATGATTTGGAAGCGGGGTCTCGGGGTTGAGAGGTGTAGCGCCGGGGTTGCAGAGTTTCAGCATGTAGTCTCTCAACGTCAATTCAATGAGCTTACAAAGCTGTGTGAGATATACTGTATTGTTCAGATTACAGTATCTGTCTACTGAAGTTGGGCCCTAAAACCACGTGGCCGTCGATAGCCCTTCACAGCCTTGAGCCGAGTGTTTGGAGTTGCATTCCACGGTGTCGAGTGGCCTGGTACAGGTGAGATTTTAAGTCCACGTTTTGTTGCGCTGAGCAATTTGTAGCTCTTGCCAGCCTACCCAACTCCACATAAATGAACTGCTTGTTAGGGGGCGGGAATAGCAGTTGGGCAAGCAGAGGTGTCAAACGTAGCGGCCGACATTAATAATTAAGCGTGTCCCCTTGTAGTCCGTCTTTGAGAATAGCCAGCAAAGTAAACTGCACTCCAAAACCCTACTCTAATTATTAAGGTCGTCCACGACAATTTCTCATTGCCAGGTCACGGCAAAGGATTGCAAGTGCCATTCTCAAGCAGCTGGAGGTCCTTGGGGTCGATTCAGGGTTTCGAGTCTTTGGGTCTAAGGCTGTGTCGTTCAATAACTTTACGGTGTCCTCTCCACATCCCGATGTTCCGGGTGCAGATGGTTTTCTTGGGTTTCTCAAGGAAAACACAGCTGGAAGGAACGCCCTTGTATGGCATTTCCGCTGGCGTAGATCGTAAGACTCAGTCTGTATCTTCAACCTAGATTATTCTTGCACACCGGAATTATTGAACTAATCCCTTCTATATTCCCTACAACTCCAAGTAGTATATGATAAACATACAAACCGTATTTACCCAATTTCTTAACTTCGTAAACAAGCGCCATCATGATCTGTGTCATCCAGTTAGACTACTTTCAATATCTTAGACGTTTGACCTCAACTTCATAAATATGCGTCATCACGATCCGTATCTTCAACTTACAAAATTCTTGCACATCCGAATTATTAAACTGAGGTGATCTGGAGTATAAAGGACTTACGAAGCGCACGGCTTCCATGAGGGGATTTTTTTGTAGGTTTGGGATCCTCGGGCTTTTGGGATCCCAGTCTTTTGGGTTGTAGGGTTTCGGGGTGCCGGGCGGCAGGTCTCAACTGCCTGGCCTCGGATGTTGCGCTTCACTTCTCCATGTTTGTGGATCGGATCTAGCAGTGCCAAGCAAAGGATGTAACTCTTACATAATTGTCTCCTTTCCACAAACTTTAGATTCTGCTATTGTCGATGCCGACAACCTCTGTTCGGCTCATCCAGGCCCCGTGTATCAGCCTAGGAGCCGGCTGACAATGCTATCACCTTTGCTTGCGCATGCAGTTAAAGCAGAACATGTGTTCCAGTCTCGTTCCAAATTTCCCGCTTATTAGGATGTGGTGCGCAAGTTCCACATTGTCACATGGACTTGCTGATTTTGTATTTTTGCAGTCGCGCGACAAAACACATACCCAAAGTCGCAGAAGTACATGCAATATGACGGGTACTGCTAGTGGCGTCTGCATTTAGTACAGTCGCACAAGTACGGATTTGCGGGCAAGCTCTCCCTTCACCCACTCGAAACCGACTCCATGCATAACAACCGAGAATCACAAACCGCCCAAGGCGTAGGTAGATCTTTGGCCAGCCCTCAGCTGTGCAACACAAGAACTCCAACAATAAACACAGGGGGTAGTTCTCTAAATTTGGGTCCGTTTTAGGGTCCTTGGGAAAAGGGTGCCGCCTCATTAAGGTTTGCTTTCTTAAAGAAGGGAGACGAATTTTGAGAACTACGTACAAGGTGGCTGCCGATGCCAATCGACCTGGCGGCCTAGACAGTGAGGCTTCCAATCTTTGAAGTGCTAGATTCTGAATCCGTGCTGTCTTGGAACATCTCAGTCCTGTCGTTTTGTGGTGCTGAGCTGAGCCCCAACAATCAAACGCCTGCAGCCGTAGCAAGCTCAGCGCGGAAGGTACGTATTCCTTTCGGGTTCTGGCGCGGGCATTGTGTGCTTTCAGAACGTGAAAATCTGAATATCTCGAGCCCGAACACAAGCCCAGTCTAAGCCCAGGGATTCCCCCACGCAAGCCTACCCCCAGAGTCAGTCGACACATGATACTTCTATAGATACTGAGCCGATACCCCTAAACCCCTGAATTCCGGAACCAGTATTCCTAACAGCCCCAAAGCCCGACACCGAAAACCCCAGGACGGCAAACCGTCTGTGGATTGTGACAAGTTCGGGTCTCAATCGCTTTCAAAACCTGTCCATCGGTTTTCTCCCGCCCACGAATCAATTATTCTTCGTCAGGGTTTGAACTGGAGTCGAAGTCTAACATCATCCAAAACAGTATTCTGACCATCAAGCTCCCTATGTCAGAAAGCCCTGATAGTAGCACATCATACTACTCGTAGTTTTTTGAGCGAGCCCTTTGAAGGAACCCTGTCCCAATTATGAAGGCTCCAACTTCTTTCAAAAACCGTGGGCCCTGAATAACTACAAGAGTTGTTCCCTGGGGTTCCCTAATACTTACAGTGTAATTCCCCTAAACCCTAAACCCTATAAGCCCTAAACAAAAAATAAACCGTGTAATTTGCGTCAGCAGGCGCAGCTGGCGGCTCTCCGGCGTGAGAACGCCGCGCTGCGCGCGGTTCTCCGCTGCCTCGCAGCGGGCGAGGTGAAGGCGGTGAGGGCTTTGAGACTTAAGGGTTCGGAGGGTTAGGATTTAGGATTTGACTGTAGTTTTTTTTTAATGTTTTTTTCGGGTGTTCGTGGTTCCGTTTTCCGATTTCGGGGGGTGTTTAAGTTTAATATTGCTGGGAAGTTCAGTTGAGGGCTTTCCAGCACTTGCTTCGTTGTTTGTTGCGGACAGCCCGCAAGCCTCAACTTTAACAATGTCTGAAACACCTGACGTAACCACAGCCCTGAACATCAAATTCTTTACAAACGTAGATAAGCCCCGAGCTTTGCCCTACAGCAACCATCAATGTTATTCCTTGGGTTCCGAATACCCCCAAACCAATTTTTCATTATCGCGGCACCTCGATTACAACCGTTAACCACCCTATAGATCCCTTACGTTATAGGATCCCCTTTCAAGAAATCCTATTCTAATGATTATGGCCCCGACATTGCTGCAATTCCAGGTGGCGGCTACCTGTGATCGCCGGAAGCCGCGAGCTGAGACCTTGCTTTGAGAAAGCCTGGCATGCCGTGATCCCTTTCCGGACTCTGAAGGGCTTCGGGTTTATAGGGTTTGGGCTCAAGGGTGGAGGGTTTGGGGCTTACAGGGCTCAGAGGGTTTATCGGGGTCCTGACGCAACTTTGGGTTATCGGGTTAGGGGCAGAGTCAATCGGGTTTGGGGTTTGGGGCTTATAGGATTTGGGGTTAACATTTTAGGGCCATGACTCGCACGTAGAAATATTATAGTCCCAATTACTACAAACGTAGTATATCATCTGCATAGACCCTTTTCGAACTATGAGGCCCCTATACTATCAGCATGTATCCGCCGTTAACGTTCTGTGAGACCATGCAAGACGGCGGCAGCCTGGAATGTATGCCTTTTAGCACAATCTCTTAGGAGTTTAACCATTTTCGGTGTACTATAATTTTATCCCTGATCAGCCTTCAGTTCCGTAGGAGACTGACAGGTAAGATCTTGTAGCTCTTGAGGCCAAGTTGCTACTTGGCAGATTCCCAGTCTCTCTCGGGGTTTTGGGTTTAGGGTGACTCCGCTCCGGATCCCTAAACTGATGAACTCTGAGGCGTTATAACACCCTGCATCCCAGTGGCAGCTAGGGCTCCAGATGTTGGGGGTAAGGTCAGGTGGGATCGTACCGCAAATGCCACAAAATGATTGCGATTACCTTCAGCATGCTAGCTGCGCTCTAGATCGCTTTGGAAGTCTTGGAATACTGAAAAAGTTGAGCATAGCTGGCAGATGGAGGACGTGCCAGGTCTGCAATGCAAACTAGCAAAGAGAAAGAAGCAAGCTGAAACGTGTACGTAATTGTATTCGTATAAATTCCATCACCTTTCCTTTGCGCGATTCATGGCCCAGTCAAACAAAGAGTCGTCACGCAGGATTCAAGACCAATATGTCACATAACTTTCCTTTTGCCAACAGATACACAACCCTGAGCCCTGTGCTGCGTCTGCCCACAAAATGCACAAAGACAACCCAGGCAGCGGCAGGTCATCATGCGCACAGCTTCCTTGGTTCCAGAGGAGGCCAAAGTTGGTTCAAAGGGAGGATTCAGGGTTAAGGATTTAGGGGTTAGGATTGGGCATTCGGAGAGGTGTTTTCTTTTGCTTCTGTCTTTTGTGATGGAGCTTGTTGAAAGGGTTTGAAAGGACGGTTTAGTAGGGTCGTCATTGTCAGGATTGAAGTGCTGAGTAAGCCAATAGCCCCCCGAATCACACTGAAGAACACGACCAACTAGCTATGTTCCTTGATCCTCCTTTGGGTGGTGCTGAACTGAGGAGCACGATTAGCAGTGTTCGGGCAAGCCCGCAGTCAGCGCTTCAGACAGGGGGTTCAAAACTTCACATCCTTAAGGAACCCGGAACCTGGACCCTAAAACCTTCACCCCTGTGGAACCCGAAACCCCTAAACCCGAAACCAAACCTAGATCGAGGGATGCTTTGGATTTAGGTTGCGGGTCTGGGGACCCATGCCAACTAACCTCCTGCTGCCAGGTCTGGGCCTTTGCCTTTGATTCACCGGAGGTGGGCAGAAAAGGGGAACGAGTTCCGTCTTCTAAGGTTTCATAAGAGACTAAGCTGAGGAGTGTAGCAGTTTAGGGTTTTTGGGTCAAAACTCCGATAAGGCCGGTCAGTGTATCTTTACAACACAGTGCACCCTAAACCTTTCAGATTTCAGCCCGTCTACAGCTCCGTGTGCAGGCCTCGCTAGGCCGAGACAGGAAATCCTATCTTCCCTGAAACCCCGAACCTTGCGAAACCGTTGCAAAGCCCAAGAACTGTACACCCAGAAAAATCCTAAGACCCTGAAGCCTTACACCCTTAAACCGTGTTAGCCTGAGCCTTGAAGTGGGTTCCGCTTCCATTTAGCGGCTCTTCCTTTTCGCGTGAGTTTTGGCGACTGTTCCTACATGCATTCGGGTTTTCTTAATTAGACGGGGGTCCCCATAATCAAGGGGTTCCAGAACTTCCTCGATGAAAAATCTGCATTCCAAAGCTTCGATAGCCTGGCAAGTTGTAGGGCATGCAATGTTTCGCTTCAGATAGGTTTATCCAGCATGGAGGAGACTCCTGTAAAGCTGCTGTTCATAAGCATGCGGGTCTTGGGGCGTTTAGGGCTTGGCGATCTTCGGCCGTTTTAGGAATCTCAGGGGCTGATAGGCTCTTGGGATTCTAAGTTTACACGGACAGGCAGAGTTCAGTCGGTGAGCTTCTTGGCTTTTCGGTCGCCGCCATCTCTTGGACGTGGATGTGCAGGGCATCTGTCACGCGCACTCGACGGAGAAGATTTGACCTTGTGCTACAGCCCGGGCCCGATCGCAGACAGGAGCCTGAAGCATTGGAGCACAGGCCGTCAAAGGCATGAAAAGCACGCTGGGCATGCTCTGGTGTTTTGGGCCCCTGTAGCGACACCAACCTGACCGGCAACCACCCGGCCATGCGGATCGAGGGCGCGGACAGCATGCGTTCAGGTCTGCTTTGCAACCTTGCGCAGCGCCCGGCTGCGGCAGATGGCATGTCTTTCTTTGCCGACCCTTGGAGAAGTAGGACTGGTGCGGGCTTTTTATAGGGCTTAGTTTGGGTTCACGGGATTGCTTCTAGCTGCTAGCTTTGCCCTTGGCCTCAGTACATCACTAGACCTCAGGCGGCCCAACTTCGCCGTCGGAGTACCGAACTTGCAATACTTCACCCCAACTGAGGTTTCCGAGCTCTGCCCTAACCCTAACACCTCAAAAGATGAGTCGCCCCCATTTTATTCTGGACCTGAGCCCTTAATCCCGAACCCTAAAACCTAAACCCTAAATCCTAAACCCAAAACCCTACACCTTCTAAACCCTAAGCTAAGATGTACTGCGAAGGCTTCACCGGCACCTCGCAACCGGCGGATGTCCTATGGCGCGGAGGCAAGCTGCAACAAGCCATAGTGTAGGGATCCTTAACATGGTAATATAGGGGCCTAATCAATTACCTATACTACTTTGGGGGTTCCTGATTATAGTGATAGTATAGTATTCCCCAAAACCTTATTCTATTTAGTACGGCCCCTACATCAGTTCTGTTTAGGCTTAGGGTTTAGTGTTTTAGGGTTTAGGGTTTAGTTCTCCAGATAAGGGTCCCTTTTAGGGGGTTCCTTAAAGGAATCTCTAAGGGCTTCTACAGGTATAGGGGTTTCTAGAGGATTACTATAACAATAGTTCTATACTGGCAGTTTGTATAAGAGTGCCGCCCTGTTTTGGGTTCTTAAAGAGGGACCACAATTTAGAGGACTACCCATTCAGTGAGATCCCGCATGTGTACTTCTCATCAGTACCATCGACCTCCTTATTCAATGTAGCAGCGCTTAGGTGAGCAATATTCGGAGTGCTCAAATATTGCACGGAATGCCATCCTTTGGACAGTGTTCGCACTTGTCCTAGACTACTTGGAGTGTTCTCAGTCAGGGCGCCCGTTCAGGTACCTATCAGAACTTCACAGTTTTAAGCGTGTCCTAAGCAAAACGTTGTAGGGCTATGGTCGCTTGTTCCATACTGTCGAGGTGAAATCATTGGTCTTGACTGTTTATTAAACTGCGACCAAGCAGCTAAATCTGTTAGGCACGCTCGGGGCGTTATAAGGTCGAACATTGAACCGACTCCTTATCTACGCTGCTGTTCACGTTAAGATGAAGACTTCGATGCCAGGCGACGGTGGCTCAGTCAATCTACGTTATTTCGATTGTTGCCTCATTTTTGGCTGCAGGGTTTAAGGCCTAGGGTCGGCATAGATCCGTTGAGTAACTTAGTAAGATCCTTCATGTAGAAAGGACCCTGTTGTTGAAGGGGCCTCAGTCCTTAGCGGAATTTCGTGTTTCCCTTGTTTAGTGCTGGAGTGTTGAATTTCCAGTTGAAGCTGACAAGAAGAGCGGGAAAGTGGGTTCGCTTGGTTGCTGAAGAACTTCGGCTTTGGCTGCTTGCAGACCTTACCTAGACCCTAAATCTAAAACCCATGGAGTTCTGATAGCTATTTGCAGGGCAGGCTGGCCCAGAAAGCCTTAACACCCACACTCACCTAACTTTCTTAACCTATACACCCTAGAACCCGCAAAGCCCCAAAACCAAACACCCAAATCCGAATGCAGGTCCTGAAGCATCGGCAGGACGAGCTGTGCGCTTCTGCGCAGACCACACTGGAGGCGGGCTTCTTTTCTCCTGCGGCCCTATAGGGTCCCCTACAGGCGGATAGGGGTCCTAGCTTGAGCGCTTTCGTATCGGGCTTCCTTGTCGCTTCCTGTAGTAGAGCATTGCCTGCATGGTTCTAGAAGCCTAGAAGGGGCACTAAGTCACTAAGGGGTCTTGGGGCCTTTAGTAAGTTAGGGGCTTCTCTCTTTCGGGGTCTTTAGAGGGCTTGTACCGCCAAATCTGAAACACTCAAGGCTCTAAAGCCCTTGATTCAGCCCTGACAACCAGGAACCCCCAATTTAGGCCCGAAGCCCAAAACTATAAACCCCAAACCCAAAATAGCATTGGTAATTATATTTAGGGCCCCACCCTAAACCTTAAACCCTAAACCCTAAACCCTAAACCCTAAACCCTAAACCCTAAACCCTAAACCTAACTATTTAGGTCCCTACATTAAACCCTTGCAGGGACCTTTAGGAGGACTCGGGTTCCAGACCTTTAAAGCCCCTCGAAGGAAGCCCTGAGCCGAGCGCTTCCAGTCCAAGCTCTGAAAGACTTCGGGTTTAGGGTTTAGGG